ATTCCTGCCTGACAGGACAACCTTCTGTCCTTGAGGTGGCATAGAAATAAATAGAAACGGTGTTTCTGAAACAGGGTGATAAGGTATTTAGCATGTACTGCAGCAGAAAGGACTGCCAGAGAGCCAGGAGATGCTGCTTGGGTCTTTCTTCGAATCACAAGATGATTTTAGGCTGTTCTGGATGATTCACCATTAAGAAGGATTTTGAGATCTGACTCTTATGCCTCTCAGGGGCCAGGCTTGGTGTGTTTCTGGGGTGCTTTTCTGGTGGCCACTGGCCTGTTCCATACTCTGTGAACATTAAGCTAACTTCAGATAGTTGTGGGAAGGGTTTATCTGTCATTTGGGAGAAGCCTGCATTACTAGCATTTTGTGACTGATTTCTGTTTCAATACCAGCTGGCTCTTCTTCAAAATGGACTCTGTATCAGGGGAGAAGCGGGCACTTTGCCCCCAAAGGCTCAAGACCTTCAGGAAGGAAATGCCAGAGAGGCTGTCCTTCTTTTCAGCATCCAGGTCATTTTGATGGTAGGATGGGCCCAAAGTCCAGAGATGGGTTTTTAAGAGAAGAATTTCTAGTAAATGCAAGGCAGAGTTGACACATTACCATTTTTATCTTTTATTTGTGAAAATTCATTAAAGTGAGTCAGTTTTATTTAAAAAGATGATGATAATAATTTACGGGGCAGTCAGCCAGTAGAACTGCCAGTTGTCCCAGGGACGGAAATACTTTGCCTCTCCTGCTGAGGTCCCTTTTAGAGAAGAGCCTTTTGCCCCCTCCTCCCCCTCTGCCTGTCTTTGAGTGTCTTTATGAACCAGCTTCTGAGCTTTCTGCTCCTTCCACAGTTTGGTGATTCGCAGCAGCTGCGGCTGGTCCGTATTCTGCGTAGCACCGTTATGGTTCGTGTCGGTGGAGGATGGATGGCCCTGGATGAATTTTTAGTGAAGAATGATCCTTGCAGAGGTAAGGAGTCCGGTTTTGAAGTCCAAATCTTCAGGTTGCCAACTCTGGGTTGGGAAATTCCTGGAAATATGGGAGGGGGGGTTGAGGAGGGGAGAGACCTCAGTGGAGTATACTGCCATAGAGTCCAGTCTCCAAAGGAGCCATTTTCGCCAGGGGAGCTGATCTTTGTCATTCAGAGTTCAGTTCTAATTCTGGTGGTCTCCAGGCCCCACCTGGAGGTTGGTAACCATACCCTAAGGTTCTGAGTTAACTAGAAAAGTTTTGTGAAACCACCAAGTTATCAAATCTAGTTTTAAGTATAGCAGGCTTGGATCTTGCCCAAAGGGCACAACCCATCAGGAAGCTCTTCTGTGCTGTGCTCACTAAATTGGATGTTGTCCAGGAGTACTTTCCATCAGACTGTGCCCCTGTGTGAATTAATGGAATTTAGACCGACCACCTCAAACACCACTACGTTTTCTCTGGTCCAGAACCAGCTTGAAAATGCACTTCCCCCTGAAACTTCAAAAGTTGATATAATTCCTGTGAATACAGAGGACGTGGTAGGTAATCACTAGTTTGCTGCGTGGAGAGCGAGAAGTGGGGTGCCTCCAAAACCCCACCATCGTTGTATCTGTAAGCTGACCTTTCTTTTCAAGCCCCACTGTAGCATTCCAAGATGGCTGCCCTGCATGCCAGTGTGCAAATCTTTCTCCTGCCTTTCTCCTTCTCCTCTTCTCTGACCCGCGCCACCATTTTGTTTTCCTCCTCTGTTTTTTTCCTTTGTATCTGGTGTATTTTCTTTCTTCTAGTTCACCACCCTGGAAGTAAAATAAAACGCTCTGATTCCAGCTCTTCGATTGCCAGTCAGTCTCCGATAGGTTGGCGGTTTTTTTCTTGGCTTTCGTCTCCTTGTCCTCCTGTCAGGAATGGCTTTGCTTCTCTAACCTGGCTTGGCCTTCCCCTCGCCCCTTCTCTTGGGAGTGCTGCAGCAAAGAACGGGAAAAGCACTTATGGCTGATACTCTTGGGGAAGGGGCAGTGGGAAGGAAGCCTCAGCTTGCCAAGAGCGTTTGTTGCCTCCAGGGGCTGCTTGATCGGCCCCTACACTTGTGCTGCCCCTTCCAATTGCACCACCTCCTTTGTCTGTGTCAGTTTTTCTCGCAGCGGCTGACCCCAGGGTGCTTCATGAAGGATAAAGGAAGAGAATCTGGGCATCTTATGCTGGAACAAGAAATCACCTCCTACAATATTCCCTTCATGGCATCTTTGTCATTCTTTCAAGAAATGCATGCATTTACTGAAATACTTCTATCGAACTTTTCTCATGTAAAATCTTAAAAAGCAGAGGCTTTGCATTTTCCCCACCCTTTTCTTCACCTGAGGTGTGCCCTGGCCCCTTCTAGCAAATCAGCAGGCTATTTCCTTCCTTGCTCACTGGCATTCTTGGCAAAGTCATTCCTTCAGGCCGGGTCTGCTGCAGCCTCTTTGCCTCCGCACCTGCCATGTTTATTTATTTTTATTTATTAGTCTCATTTGTACCCCGCCCTCCCCACAATGCGTGCTCAGGGCGGCTAACAATCAAAGCATAAATACAATTAAAAGACATAAAATCATCTGTGCATGTGTTCCTTGACCTCCAGGAGATCTTTCTTTGCTGCCCCTCTTTGCTCTTGGAGGCCTTGGGCCTGCTTTTGGCGCAGTCCTGCCAGTCGATTTTGCCCTGCCCACAGGTTATCCCCTTGCAGTGCTGTACTAAAAGCTGCAATTGCTTGTCGGGTGGAGTGGGGGGAATGCGGTGTGAATTCTCACACTTCACTTTTTGCCCTGCAAGGCTTTCTGCATGGTGTGGCTTACTTAACAAATATGTTCCTTGTTGTGTTTTTTATCTGTCTGTTGGGTTTTCAAGACAGCGGGACATGCTGGTCATTTTAACTAGCAAGCAGAGATGCTATTTGTTGGTTGCGATTGTTTAAATCTTCACCCTACCCTGGGTTGTTCCCTTCCCATATCTTGGGGATTTGGGCGGCCGAGTGCACAAGGCTGGGTTGAGAGCTCTAGGTTATGTCCTTCACAAAGACCTCTTACAACTTAAGCCTTACTCATTCTTTTGTGTTCCGGTGCATAAGTGCTTGTGCCAACTCATCTTTTGCACTTTGGGGGCAGCGGCTTCCAGTGCTGAAGCAGGTGCTACAAACACAGCAGGCAAATTATACCAAACATGGCCTGTGTGCATGATCACACAGCTGTCCCATGAGTAGTATGAGCCGTGGGGTTGGGGAGGGAAAACGAGCAATTGTGCTGACTCAGAGCCAAACTACAGGTGGCGGTAGCCACTAACACCATTTGGGAAGAATTTGTAGTTCTTTAAAAATCGCCATGGTGGCCCCAGGAGCTCCTCAACCACCCCCACCCCGGCATGCCTTTCCCTGCACTTGAAGAGGGGTGGGGAGAGAACAAGAGCTCCTGGGGCCACCATGCTCCCAATCCCTATTGGAACCTTGTGGCAGTTTTTAAAGAACTACAAATGCTTCTTAAAATGGCGTCACTTGTAGTTTGGCCTTCGAATGTGGGGAGGGGGGCTCTCTGTGAACTGAAGAGCACTTTTATGCTTAATTTACCAACGGCTGCACCATCAAAAACTCCCCCCACCCAACTTATTAGGTGGTGGCCTGTCAAATTGGGAGAGTGGGGATGGTCTTTCCGTGGGGTGTGACATCAGTGGAAACCAGAAAGAAAGGACGGGCCTTCCCATACAAGCTCTGGCAGAGTATCAGAAGCTTCTGGCTTTGATGCTGATTTACAGTGTTTTTCCTGCCTTCCTTGTAGCACGTGGAAGAACTAACCTCGAACTTCGAGAGAAATTCATTCTCCCAGAGGGAGCTTCTCAGGGAATGGCACCATTCCGCTCCAGGGGTCGCAGGTCCAAGCCTTCCTCTCGGGCAGCTTCCCCAACACGATCCAGCTCTAGTGCCAGCCAGAGCAATCACAGCTGCGCTTCTATGCCCTCCTCCCCAGCCACACCTGCCAGTGGGGCAAAGGTAAGATGCTCCTTCACTTGGTTTTCATGGTTAACTTCTTTCTTTCCCAAGATCGGTTCAGAAGGGCAGACACGGGCCAGCCTCTTGACATCAGCACAGGAAATGCCCTGGTGCTGTGCCGGGCAGTGGAGGTGGGTGTTAGAAATACACCAGGCTTCTGTGGAAGGCGGATACCGGTTGACCTTGAGCTTGCGGGCAGATGTCGGTGAGCACAACAGGCTGGCCCTTACTTAAATCATTTATACTCTACCTTTCTCCCCAGCAGGGACCCAAGGTGGCTTACATAATTCTACTCTTCTCCATTGTATCCTCACAACAACCCTGTGGGGTAGGTTAGAATGAGTGTGCGAGTGGCCCAAGATCACCTAGCAGGCTTCCATGGCACAGTCAGTTTGGTGTAGTGGTTAAGAGCAGCAGACTGCAACCAGTTGGGTGACCTTGGGTCAGTTACAGTTCTCTCAGCTGTTCTCTCAAGAGCAGTTCTCTAAGAGCTCTCTCAGCCCCACCTACCTCACAGGGTGTCTGCTGCGGGGAGAGGAAGGGAAGGAGATTGCAAGATGCTCTGAGGCTCCGAGTGAAGGACAGAGTATAAATCCACTTCTTCTTATAATGGGGATTTGAACCAGGGTCTCCCAGGTCCTAGTCTGACACTCTAACCACGACACCATGCTGGCTGTGGTGCCCTGCAGGCAGCTTGCGGCTGCTGGAGGATCAGCATAGCAAAGCGGAGGCTCCTGCCTCACATAGACATACACAAATAAAGGGATCCTACAGAGACTGTGGGTAAGGTGTGACGGTATCCCATAACTAGAACCAACACCAGTGTGGATGCTTGGGGGGGGTCGAGGTTTGGGCCTCAGTATCTGGCAGCTGCTGCTCAGAGGGCGCTGGCAGAGGCTTAAACTCAGCACCCTTGGCAAGGCTTTCAGAGACATTCCTTTCCACCTTCACTCTGAAACACTCTGCCACACACAGGTAGGTAGAAAGCACAGCGAGTTTCTCTTCCTTCCTTTCCCCTCCAAATTGTTATCTGTTTGTGTGTATGTGTAATTTTTTTTTAATTTGGGGGCCATTTCTGATTTGTTTTTTGTCTTTCTGGGATATCAGGACTCTTCCCCCCCCCCAATCTGGCACTGGCAAGATGGCCGCATTGACCCTGAGGTCATTTGTGTGCCTCTGCCTGTGTGCATCCTCCATCTCATTGGGTCAGTGTGTGTTTGTGTTCATGATCCCTCTTTCTCTCTTTTTTTAATTTTAGGATTTATTTATTTCTCTATTTTTTATTTCTTTCCTTCCATCCTGGACACTCTCTTCTCCTGCCTCCATTCTCTCTGACTTCCCCATCTCTCCCCCCCCCCTTCCCTCAACCTCTCTTTGGATTCTCCATTTCACAGACTCTGCATCACTTCACTCGCTGTTATGACAAACCCTGGTTGGTAAACAGCAAGGCAGGCACCCCTTTGAGGGTCTCCGATGGTGCCGACCTGCACCTGTCCACTTCTGAGGTAGAGTATGGCTTCCCTGGGGCAGTGGAGCAGGGTGGCCGGCGGCCTTTTCCTCTCATAACACTTTCCTTGTCCGTTATAGCAGTGCTTGGTTAACCCTCCTCTAATGCTCGGGCTGTTGCCTTTTTGTTAGGTACCTGGGTCAAATTTCTTTTAAAAGAATACACACAGGAAGCCTTGACTGACCTGGACGGCCCAGGCTAGCCCAATCGTATCAGAGCTACGAAGCTAAGCAGGGCATGCCCTGGTTAGTACTTGGATGGGCAACCAGCAAGGAAGTCCAGGCTTGCTACACAGAAGCAGGCTCTGGCAAACCACTTCTGAATGTCTAGATGATACTTTCCACTGCCATACACAGAAAATATAGAGCACCATTTGCAAACAGTTTCTGCTAAAATGGTGAATGTTTTTTCAGATATCCAAAAAAACCCAACTCAAGCCTGTTTTTAAAATATGAAATGACTAGAATGTAAGGTCAATGAGCTTCCTACTATAGTTGCTCTTCATTTAGAAGTGATTTATTAATGCTGACTTAACATCTGCAGAAATGAGCAACAGCACAAACACACCATGCCTGCTTGAATTGTGGTGTTGGGGGGGCATAATTTAAGCAGCTATGCAGGCAGTGTGAGAAACTGGGTGTCACAGTAGAAGGAGCCCTCCTGGCTCACCTCCACCATGGATTTTTGGTCCAGCCTGGATGCTAAAGGGAAGCAGGGTTTCCCCCCCACGCTTCCACACGGCATTGTAATGCTTTTGTGCACCTTCTGGCTTTTCTGCAACTTTTCCTAAACCTGCTTTACTTTGATCTTTTTTGAAAGCTTTGCAGCAAATCTATCCTTCCCCTTCCTCAGTTACCAGCAGAGAGCTCCAAACTGCCAGGGCTGCCTTGGCAACGTAAGGGATGTCACCTGCATGTAGCTGGTAGGTGAATCCCCTTCTGTATGCATCCTTTTAGGGCCAGTGAAAGGTGAGGAATGATCCGTTGTTTATCCTGTTGGATTAAATTGAAATCAGTTTATATTTTACCAAAACCTTTTTAAGATGCTAAAAGGGGCCCATGTTAAAGTTCATATTAGTCAATGTAAAATACGATCCATTTTTTTCTTCAAAAGAAAGACCATCTCTAATGTTTTATATTTCATTTCCTATTAAAGTAACACACCAGAACGAAAATGGTCTCAGAAATAAATACCCACTCTTCCCCACCATAGCCTCACCAGTTTTCTCCCCAGTGTCTGATCAGTGAATGTGGGCCTGCACCATCAAAGTCAAATGCTGGCCCCCAGCCACATAGGGTGGTCTTCCGGGTGTCTCAGACAAGCCACACACACACACCCAATAGTAGTCACAGGGCAGGGTTTGGCTTGGAGGTCACACAAAACGTCTGGAGCTGCCATCAACTGATCCCCTATCCTATCCCTCCCAGAACCATCTCACTCTGGCCGGGAGCAGCTTTCCCAACTCTCATCCCTTTTAACTGGACTTGGTCAGGAATTGAACTCGGGACTTTCTGCACGACCCTCCTGCAGGAGGGGTTCTGTTTTCTTACTAACCTGTAAGACGCTGTGGGGGTTGCAGGGCTTCCTCTCCAGGTTCCTCAAGCCTGAAAGATTAAGTTTCTCGTTGATCAGCTTGCCAATCACATCACTCTCAGTATCTCTGCCTCTTCCTTCAGTCTGCTGGAAAAGCAGAGGTGGGTGATGCAGGCAGCAGGTAATTGGGCAGTTGGGTGCTTTCTGTTTCAAGGACACTCTCAGGCTGGTGTAAGTTGCAGGCTTGTTAGCCATCCCAGGGTAAATTTGTTGTGGCCAGTGACGAGGGCATGTAGGCCTTTGTGATCAGGGTGGGTCCCTCTTCCTGTTTGCTCCACAGGCAAAACTGCTAAGTAGTTGTGGCTGTAACTTAGCCAACCCCCCACCGCACCCTGCAGCAAGGCAAAATGCTTGTTCCGGTCCTGCTGTGGTGGAATCTGTCAAAAACCATGCCCCCTCCCCAAAGAACTCTTCTATCCTCTGTCCTGCTTCTTCTGTGGGGCTCTACCTTCATACAAAAAACAAAACAAACTGCTGAGAGCAATTTAGAGAAACGGGGTGGCCCAGAAGAATTATTCCAGATTCGGAATCGTGGCAATTTAAACTTTCCCCCAGGAGCCTTTTTCTCCAGCTCTGGAGTGCCCTTTCCCTTCCTTTAGGGACAAGGGCAGAGTTCTGGCATTCCATCTGGTGTTGTGTGGTAAAATAGACCAAGAGCAGAATGGAGCTTTCTCGGGTTTTCTCTCTGTCTCCCCTCCAATTTCAACACCTGAACACTCAGGAAGAAAGTGGGACAGACCAATAGGAGTAAATATTTATTATCAGAGGGCAAACATGCTAGGGAAACAGAAGCTCCCCTTAAACATTTCTGGTGCCTCAATTATAATTTGGTTCTTGTGGGCCCTGTTTTAACCCTCTGCTTGGGCTGAGTACCTGTGTTGTCTTGCTTCCTGGATCAACCAGAAACGTACACAGATGGAAAGGATTCCTGTCCACAGACCACGACTTCCTCCCTTACGCTGTCCTGCAGCATCCCCCAAAGCCAGGGAGCCCCAGAAATCACATCAGGGAAAAGTCTGAGGTTGGCAACAGAAGGGGGAGGGGATCTGCAGACTCACCCTCCCTCCCTCCCTTCCTTCCATTCACGGAAACCCTCCACTGGATCCAAGCTTATATTTCCTTTTTTTCCCTTGAGCTTGATCTGTTTTCGAACATAATTACGGCTCCAACTTCCCCACTGAAAGGTCTTCCATGTTCCTTTGTTCCAAGGTTACTCCATCTTCAAGCAGTAAACTGAAGCGACCCACTTTCCACTCGAGCAGAACTTCTCTTGCTGGTGATACCAGCAACAGCTCCTCCCCAGCTTCTTCTGGGGCCAAAACCAATCGGGCAGGTAAGTGCTGTGGCAGATCTGAAACTGTCCCCAGCCATGAGCTGAGGAGGCCTCAGGCCGGTTGTCCACCTCTGGACCTCAGTCCCCCCTCCCACAGTATGAGCTCAGTACTGCCATCCTACCTAACACGCTTGCTAAAAGGATGAAAGAGATGCTGTGTGCAGAATGCTTTATAAACTCGAAATGACACATCTTGTCACAATGAATCCACTGCCCCTGCAGTGGGAGGCCCCCAGTTTCCTATTTTGCATTGATTTACTGTAATTTGCTGGCCGGGATGATTTGGAGCTCCCCAGATGGTTTGGAGCTCCCTGGATGGTGAAGACACAGCCTAGGCATGCAACACAAATGGTCTACCAGCAGAGGCACAGTCACCGGCAGCAGCGGCTGCTCTAGGGTTGCCACCCCCCCCCCCCCCGGTTTGCCAGGGGTCCCCCGTTTTTTGGGGGGGTTCTACCTGCCGCCAGCCAGATGGCCGGTGTGGGAAGCCCCATCACCAACACCCACAGCCACCCCTCTCTCTCCCTTTAAGTGTGTGGAACCCATGTTTCCTCCCAAGCCCGATCTCCGCTTGAGATCAGGCTTGCAGGGAAATGCCAGCTTCATGCATTTAAAAGGGAAACGCCGGCTCCTTTAAGTGCAGGGAACTGCCATTTCTGGAGATCCGGTGCACGGGCGGGGGTGGTGGTGGACGTCCCCAACGTGACGCCCCCTCCAGAAACACCCCCAAAGTCCCCCGCTGGGGGTGGAAGATGGACTTGGCAACCCTAAGCTGCTCCCATACCTGGAATATCATCGAGCGAGTTCAGTTCAGTTGTGGAAAGGGCCAGCTGGAATGCCCCGGTTTCAACATGCAAAAACATGGCAAAAACTGGCCCCTGCCTCTGACTGAAATGGGGGGCCATGGGGAAGCAGAGATACCAGCTGAGAAACTGGAAGCAGCCCCATAGCTAGGAAGGGTTTTTTTTGGGGGGGCTGCAAAGACCAAGAGCGGGCAGCCTAATTATAGCAACTCTAATTAGATTAGTGACTGATCTAATTAGTGGTTATCTAATTAAGAGTTGGCAGCGAGCAGGAGGGGAGGGTCTTTAAGAAGCTGGCTGCTGAAGCCCACCACCTCTTCCAGCAATGTCTGCAAGAGCTCTAGTATTATGATCACCGTTTGCCTTGGCTTCACAATTGGGTTGCTTACCTGTTGCCCTCTTGTGAGGTGCACACTTTTATTGAGCCACTTTCTGCCTGGAGTCCCCCTTAACTGCCCCCACTGAAAGTGAAACAAGGACTTCCAATCACCCTTCTCCCCATTAATTCCTCCTCCTGATGCCATCCCCTGTCTGGCTTCCCCCGGCCCCCCCCCCCCCCCCCCCCCCCCCCCCCACAAGCACAGGCACAGAGGAGCACCAATGAGAATTCCTTCTGTGCCAGCGTCATCAGTCTCTGGGCAGAAGCATCAACAACTGGTCCTGTGTATGCATGCTCAGAGGGTCAATCGAAGAGCTCTCTTTATTCTGCCGACCCTGCTCCTGTAGTGGGGTTCTCTCCCCCACAAAAAAAAAAACCAAACCATTTTGTTCAAATCGGGCAGCTCAGTTAGTCTGATCTGTTTAAGGTTTTTTTGGTGGGGCTGCCTCCCTTGATCTCTGGGGCTGGCCCTCTAATGATCTCTGGGCCTTTCAGCCTGGAGGTTCACGCCCCCCCGACCCCCGCAGCCTCCTCCCAGGACACTTTTGGTCCAATCCAGAGGGCCAGCAGGAGCAGCGCAGGCACAGCTGGGGCAACCAAGTGCCGGGAAGGCCAAGCGCCACCTCACCCCATCTCCAGCCAGTGCACTGTGGGTGAGCCTCTTAGGCGGTGGCACCCAAACCCCTCCCATCAGGCGGGGGCTGCCAGGATACTGGAAGGGCCTGGCAGGCGGGCTCTGCTTGCAGGTGGTGGGGGGCCCGTGTGCCTGGCTGGGGATGGCCACGGGACTTGCCACGTGGGCTGCCTCCTGGGGGCTGGGAGGGAACCAGGAGGTGAGGGGGTGGGCCCATTCATGAGGGGACCTGCTGGGAAGATGGGCTGTTAGTCCCTCCCAGTCCTCCAGTGCAGTGACATTGTATACACACATGTATCCTGGTTTAAATTTCAGATCCTAAGAAAACCGCCAGTCGCCCTACAAGCCGCGCTGGAAGCCGTGCAGGGAGCCGCGCCAGCAGCCGCCGGGGCAGTGACGCCTCCGACTTTGACCTCCTGGAAACCCAGTCGGCCTGCTCAGACACATCGGAGAGCAGTGCAACGGGAGGGCAGAGCAGTTCCCGACGGGGAATGGCCAAACCGTCTAAAATCCCAACCATGTCCAAGAAATCCACCACTGCCACCCCCAAAACTCCAGGCCCCAAGAGATAATACTGCATTCTTGCCTGCCTGCGTATCTACACACAGAGAAACCTGTGTCCACTTTTTAATCCTGCTTCATACATTGGATGTATATTTATTCTACACGGGAGAAAATTATATTGTTAAAAAGTGTAAAAGAATAATTGTGTTATGAAGCTGCCTTATTTTGTTCCGTTTATTTTTTTTTCCTTTGTAAGTTACTATTTTCATGTGAATATTTATGTAGATAAAAAACTTGCCTTCTGGTGACCTTCTTTTGTGTTGGGAGGGGGCCCAGGAAAACAGATTGAAAGGTGGAAGAGAATACAAGCAAGCAAGCAAAAGGTCATGATGTGAAAATGTAAGGGGGAAAAAGAAGCAAAAAAAAATTATAAATAGGATTTCTGTGCAGTGCAGGAGATGATCCTGCGTTATCTTTTAGGATTGTTTCCTAAATGGATCTTTATAAAAACGTAACTTGCTGTCTCAGCAAGGTAAATTATATTTAAAAAGCAACACCTGAATATCCAGCAGTGTTCAAGGAACTCTTTCTTTCCTCGTTTTTTTCTTTTTTCTTTTTCTAAATCATGGATACCTCAATAAGAGAAATGTGAGGTGAGGAAGATCTGGAACTTCTGTTTCCAGTTTTTTTAATAGAAAATCATTGTGGTTTTACCTGAAGATCAAGTGGAGTGAGTTTGAATTAAAAAAAAAATTGCACATGCTTTCTTACAAGTAAAGAAGTTCACTACAAGTGCTGCATCTAGCAAAACAAAAGTACTGTCAGCAGTTGAGCTTTTTAAGAACTAATCTTATGTTTGGGGAGTGGGGGCTGTCCAGAAACATCACCCTGGCGTGGGACATCCAGGGTGGGGTGGGGATGCAAGATGACCTTTTAACTAGGGGACACAAAGGGGGACTTTGCGTGCCTCGTCCTCCTGTCTCACCACTGTAAAAGACTGACCACTTTTTAAGTTCACGAACTGGTATTTAACTGTTTCATTTCCTATTTATTGTCTCAACTGCGAAATTCCATGTCGGACCAGACTGACTAACTTTGCGGGTTTTCCACTCCAGGGAAGAAAAAGCCGGCTTCCACACGCACCGTTGCTTGTTCTTGGAAATGTTTCAGAGTATCACCAGCAGCCCACTTGCTAGCAAGGCCCTGTCTTGCTTTTTCTATGCTCATTTTTTTTTCCTTTGTAGAGGAAATTAAAAAAAAAAAGTTAATCATGTGACCATAAAGGGGGGGGAGTGGGGGGCTCTCTGGTCTTCCTGTATTATTAACTTTTGCTCTTGGCCCACTCTGACCACATTGCTGTGTGATTCTCTCAGTTGGTTAAATTGAGCCAGAACTCTGAAGCTCTACCAATGAATTGTTTAAAAAAAAAAAAAAGAAGAGACAGACACTTTTTGTATTAAAATTGCTTGCAGTAATAATAAAAAGACCCTGGCCTCTTATTGTCTGCTTTTGTGTCAAAGTGAGTTACTTATTTTCCCTTCTTCCATAAGGTAAGAAAAGCCTGGTATGACTTGAGTCATTTGCTAATTCTAAAACTCAGTACCTAAAATCTGGTGTAAATGAGAGCGTTCCCAGGAAAGTTCTCCATGTCTGCCCCCAGGACAGTCTGAGAATTCTGAGTGATGCGAAGAGGTGGATTATGGCCGCTCCTGGTATTTTGCACAGATGGAAGAAAAACGCTGCCCTGATATTGTCACAGCTGGGGCTCTTCTGTCCAAGGGCCATGCCCACCCACATCCTATCCTTTACATTTTTGTTTTTTAAGCATCCATCTAGAGGATGAGCTCTCTCATTCCTGAGTGCCGGTTAGTCCCAATAAAGGGATTGCTTAAGAATGCTGGTAGTGGTCAAAAGTGCCATCCAGTTGCGACTGACCTATGATGACCCTGTAGGACTTTCAAGGCAAGTGATTGAACAGAGGTGGTTTGCCACTGCCTGCCTTTGCTGTGGTGCTGGAGAAGGCTCCTGCACATTCCTTGGACAGCAAAGGTAACAAACGAGCAAGTATTGGAGCGCATAAAACCAGACATGTCATTGGAAGGGAAAACCATAAAACTGCAACTGACTTGTTTCGACCATGTCATGTAGAAGAACTCACTAGAAAAGGCAACTCTGCTTGGATTGGTTTGCAGCAAAAGGAAAGTGGGCCACCAAAGAACATGGTGGCTAGACACCACAAAAGTCAACTCCAGCCTGAGCATGGAACAACTCAAAGAAACAATACAAGATCAGAAAACGTGTAGAGAGCTGGCCCATAGAATCGCCAAGAGTTGAATATGACTATATGGCTAACAACAACAGCCTCTGCATAGCAACCTTGGTCTTCCTTGGTGGTTTCCCATCCAAGTACTAACTAGGGCCAAACCTGCTTCGCTTCCAAGATATGACAAAGTTGGGCTAGCCTGGGCCACCTAGGTTAGGGAAGAGTGCCTGTGCCATTCCTTTTATTCTAGAGGCTGGGCTTACTCAAGCAACACAGGTCCCTATGCCAGAATCCAAAGGCACTGCTGCTTATGCTGGGGTTCAAGCCAATGGATTGCAGTTCCCTGAGTGGTGGTGAGGGAATTACACTATCCACGTTCAAAGGCATTGTCTTTACTTTTCATGTGGAAGACTCACAAACAGGTTCCAGATCCAAGTCCAGTGACCGGGCAAACCACAACAGCCTTCTGTCATTGGTTTACAGACCTATCTCTTTTGTTGGGTGCAGCATCTGAAGTGCTACAGAAAGGCGGTGGGCAAACTGTGGCACAGTGGCCATGCCTCCCCCCCACCCACCCACTTTTCCTGCTGCCCCTCAGTGTTTGCTGAGTGCCCAGGGCTGAAACTCCTGAAAGACAGGTGAGCAGCTGAATGCTCTTAAGAACAGCTAAGTGCAAGAAAGGAGCACCTGGGGGGGGGGGTGTCTCTGCCCACTTCGAGGGTGGAACAAAGGTGGACACTGGCCCTGTTTCCAGCAGTGGTGGCCCTCCAAAGGGAGTGAGGGCAACATGTGGCCCTTAGGATGAAAAAGTTGTGGCGCTGAGCAGGAAAATTTCAATGACATTTTATTCAGATATACCCTGCTTTCTCCTCAGTCAGGCAACTGAGAGACTTCTTTGCTCAGGGTCACCCAGCTAGCTTCCATGGCCGAGTGGGGATTCAAACCTGGGTCTCCCAGATTCTAGTGTGATCTTCTAACCACTACACCAGTCATATCTAACAAGGTGCCCGTGGGCATCATGGCAATGCCAACACCTTTCCTGCCACCAGTGTTCCCTCTGAGCTGAGTTAGTGTGAGCTAGCTCTCAGTTTTTTAGTCTCCAGCTCACATATTTTTGTCTTAGGAAGGATGGCTCCAGAGCACACTAATTTATGCAGTAGCCAAATTGCTTGCTCACAACTTTAATGCCAGTAGCTCACAAAGTAGAATTTTTGCTCACAAGACTCCACAGCTTAGAGGGAGCATTGCCTGGCACCCAAGTGTTTTTAGGAACTGGGTGGGGTAGATGGGGCTTTTGCCAGGAGGGCTTCTGATTGTCTGCTGGAGACCTGGTTGGCTGAACAATTCTTTTGAAAATGTCGCTCTGGGAGCAGCTGCCACCACAGCACAAGGATCTTCACTGAGTGACTGAAGGTATATGTAAGAAAATATTTTAAAAGCGTATGTTCATTTCAAAAAGCATCTTGTTAAACAAAGCTTCTGCCTGAAATGTTAAAACTTGTTACTATTAGAGTTGTACACAACCTTGTGGCCTGCATTCTGGGTTGGCTCCTCTGGTGGCCATTTTGTGTTTGTGACTCTCACCCTGTGGCAGAATTCCAATGGTACCCAGAAGGTGCACCACACCGCCATGCTTGTTCTCAGCAGTTATGTTGGGATTCTGTTCTGTTTCGTTTTGCTACCCCATCTTATCCTGCTAGTCTGGGCTATGTCTAAATGCAGCAAAATAAGAGAGGGCCACACAGAACAAACATGGGAAGCCACCTATGTTTACAACATATTTCTAAAGAAAAGGGGGAAGCTACTCAGGGTAAGAAAACTGCCTGAATTCATGACACTTGTTTCGGAAAGTCCTGCTCACTTCTGCCCAATTTTTTAAAAATAATCTTGAAATGCATTAGGAATTTTTGACTAAATTTATGCACCACTGGAGATCATTTTGCCATTTTGTACCTGGTATAGTGTCTTCCCACCCCCCAAGTTTTTAAAAAAATAGCATTCAGAGTGGTTAAGTTTGTAACAGCAAAAATACACAATAGTCTTTTGGTACGTGAAAGGCAAATAACATATTTCTGCCTAAATTTTCCTAGACCAGAGCCTAATTTGATAGACGCTATGCTATTTATTTGTGGCCTGCTTTCCTCCCCAGTGGGGACCCAAAGCAACTTTCCTTGGTCTTCCCTTCTTCATTTTATCCTCACACCAACCCTGTGAGGTAGGTTTGGCTGAGTGTGACTGGCCCAAGGTCACTCAGCAAGCCACTCCACCCAGAGGTGGGATTCTAACCTGGGTCTCCCCAGATCCCAATCTGACACTCCAAGGCCTACACCAACAAATTTTAGATTTCTCAAGACATTAAAAGGGGCAAACTTACTTAGCAAACCGAGCCATGGCCCCTTCACAGTTATGGGGAACAGTCAGCGCACTTTTCACATTTTGAATGTTTAGGTATTCCCATCTCACTCTGTCCTTCCTGCACGTGGGGTCCCTCGGCGCTCGCTGTTTTGTTTTTTTCTTTCCTACCTCCTACAGAAAAGGTCTGCCTAGGGAGGGCCCCGGCCACAAGAAGCCTGTGAGACCTTCCACTGGAATAAAAATCGCGCGAGGGGTTGCAACGCAAGAACGAAGTGCCGTTTATTTCCTTATGCCACAGAGGTTTCGAGGTTAGGTCGGTGCTCTGCTCCTGCCACCTAAGGAAGATGGTTTTCCTCAAAAGCTGAACAAGCTCAGGGAGAAGAGGTCGACTTCAACTCAGCCCCCCTGGCCGGAGGCTACCCAATCCTAAGTGCCAAACAGAAGCGGGCGTCGTGCTCTGGCTTGGCGTGCGTGTCTGTAAACCGCAACTCTTGCGCCATAGCCCCACCACTGCCATCGCCGCCCTCGTCCTGCCCCGATGGAGCGCAGCACCATCGGCCGCAACTCTCTCGCCGCGGCCTCTGCCCCAAGGAGCTTGCCCGACCGAGGCAGCGCCCTCACTCTCCCGGGAGGGGGCCGGAGGGCCGTCGCCTCGGAGCCTTCCCGGCCTTGACGCTCCCCGCCACATGCCCCGCGTCGCGGCGTCTGCCGAGGAAAGGGCAGGAGAGGGCCGGGCCCCGCCAGCGGCCGCCCAGCTCGCACGTGCTTCCACGCCGCTCCGCTTAAAGAGCCGCCCCGACGGCAGCAGCGCGCCGAGCGCGATGCGGCTGCTGCCGCTGCTCTTCTTGCTGCTGGCGGGCGAGCGCGGGGAGCGTCAGGCGGCCCGTCGCGTCGCCTCCTGTCCGCAGCAGCATTCCCCGCGACGGCTCAGCGGGCGCGAGAAGCGGGAGATGCAGCGCGAGATCCTGGCTCTGCTGGGCTTGCCGGGCAGGTCCGCTCCGGCCGGCGCCCGCCACTCGCCGCCCCCCTCCGCCGCCCCTCTCTTCATGCTGGACTTGTACCGGGCCATGGCCAGCCAGGACGAGGACGACGGCACCAGCTGGGCGCCCCAGCGGAGGAGGGCGCTCGACGGCGCGGACACCGTCATGAGCTTTGTCAACGTGGGTGAGTCTAGAACGCGCTGGCGTCGGGACTGCTGCGCGCTCTCTGGGTCCCCGATGCTTCGGGGGAACCGCCGGGCCAGGCACTGCACGACAGCAGTTCGCCAGCTTGCGTGGAGCGGCTCTTCCAGATGGCTTCGACGGCGAAGGATCCGGAACGCCGCCCTGGCCGCCGGGCTCCGCGCGGCCTCCGCGATTCTCTTCTGTCCGTCGCTCTTGCGCCTCGCTCCTTGGGATGGGGGGCGCGTCTCGTTTTCCACTGCAGCCGCGAGGGCCGAGCCAGGCCGCTGTGCCGTCGGGAGGTGACCGAGCGGAAAGTTACAGCCGGCTCAAGGGAGGGCGGCCTACAAGCCCAGGAAGCGGGCCCTCGCCCGCTATGGGTAGGGTGGGGTGACCCAGGCCTGAGGGATGCAACCCTTTGGCCGCAGAGAGCAGGGGCTGAGCTAGGACCGGTCCCTGCTGCCCTCCGAGGCCTACTGATACCCTTTTCCTTCTCTTGCAGCTCTCCCTGCATCTCCTTTTATTTATTTAATATTATGGAGCTTATTTATGCCCTGATCCGAATAGTCCAGGCTAGCAGGACCTCATCAGCTCTTAAAACCAAGCAGGGTCAGCCTGGGAGACAGGGAAGTCCAGGTTAGCCACACAGAGGCAGGCGATGGGAAGGTACCTTCCTGGCTCTCTTGTCCTGAAACGTCCATCAGGGATTGCCATCTAGGTTATTTGGGGGAGGGGCTGTGCAGGGCCGGCCCGAGGTTTTTCGGCGCCCTAGGTGAAATTAGCGGGGGGGGGCGGCGAGGCTGCCTTGTGCCCCCCCCCCAGGGCAGGGCCGGGTTTCTCCGCTGACGGGTGTCTGTGTGTCCATTCCTGGTCATCAGCGTCACCTCCCAGTTTTTACGGCGGAGGAGCGCGCTTGTGGGTTGCTCTGTGAAGTGCCTCTCCAGACCTCCGCCGCCGCCTTGGTCGCCCAGGAGCGGAGCCGGGAGGATCTCCTGAACCACCCCAGAAGGGGGGGTTGTCTGTTCCGTTGCTCTCTTCAGCCCGACCTCCAGTGCCGGCACCCTGTGGGACCCGGGGCCCTTCTGTCGGGCTGCAATGTCCCGCCGGGCATTCCCTCCTCAGACTGCGGGCTCCACGCTGGACGCTGCCTGGGAGGCCCTGTGCAGCCCCTTGTGCCCTCTGCCTCCTCTCCATGCCCCTGGCCCAGCCCGAGGGGGTAGAGGTGCTGCTCCGTGCCCTGCTGCCGAAGGGGAGCCACCCCGCCACACCCGCCCGGGAGATGGTTGTCAAAGGTGAGGCCGCTGCCACCCTGTCGGGGGGGTGCAGTTTGGCGCCCCTAAGGGCCGGCCCACTCTAGGCGAATGCCTAGTTCACCTAGTGAGCGAGCCGGCCCTGGGGCTGTGTCTCAGGAGGGGCCGCATGTTTGGCACGCAGAAGGTCCCAAGTTCAGTCCCTGACACCTTCAGTTAAATGGACCAGGCAGTAGGTGACCTGGGAGACCTCTGCCTGAGACCCTGGAGAGCTGTTTTCAGTCTGAGTATACAATACTAATAAATTAATTATCATATGGTATTGTGTGTAGAATAGCCAGGAGATCCTAAGATTGTCTGGCAGCCAGAAGTTCTAGCTGTTTAGAATTATGCACCACTAAGTGGCGAGCTAGACTTGTTTTTAAGGCAAGAGATGTTGCAGAGGTGGTTTGCCATTGCCTGCCTCTGCGTCAGAACCCTGGTATCCCTTGGAGGTCACCCGTCCAAATACTAGAAAAGGCTGACCCTGCTTAGCTTCCAAGATCTGACAGGATCAGGCTAGCCTGGGCTATCGAGGTCAGGTCAGTAAACAATACTGACCTTGATGGTAGAAAAGAGCAAGAGTCCAGTACCACCTTAAAGACCAACAAAGTACATGGCAGGGTATGAGATTTTGTGAGTCACTGCTCACTTTTTACGATAACCTTTGAGGTGCTACTCTTCTACTGCTATAGACAAACTACTCTTCTACTGCTATAGACAAGCACGGTGTCAGCTACGCTGCCATGGGGGTTGGGGAGCTCGGTCTGTGTCTGGTTAATTGCTACTGCATCCCTTTCTGTGCTTGTTCTGCTTTGCGCCGAAATGCTTATCTATACAGATGTGCAGGAGAGAGTTGTATTGTCTAGGTTTTTCCTAGGTGCCATGGGAGAGTGTTGGTTCTCAGCTTCAGCTACCCAACGGTCTCCAGGCTTTATCCCGTACGCGGGAGGGTGCCTAATTGGCCAGTGCTCTGGGGGGGTGCATACATATACCTTGTATCCTATTATGCCCATGGGGCAGCTGCCATTCTTAATAGTGCTTATGTTACTGCATCCTATAGCTCTGTAATAAAAGTATTACCGTTCCTGAATGCGTGTACTTTGTTGTTGGCTGTGGGTTCTGATATTCTGTTAAGAATCCTCCATTCTCTATCTCCGTGCATCTCTCCACAACCGAGATGAGCGACGGAGAGGAGAAACCAATTCCTAAGAAGGGCGACTCTGGGGGGGTCCCGACCCCTACCATGACCGGTGAGGGGACCCCCACGACCCAGTCAACATTGCCGGTGACTACCACGCCGCCAATGACTGCAGCTAACGCGGGAGCCATTCCTAAAACGACATCGACCCTGGTGTTTCTGACCCCGACAGGGCCGAGGCGGCCACCCGGCCATGGTTACCGGCAAAGCTCCAGCTGGAGCCAGTTTCACCCGGACTCTACTGCAGAGACGTATATGCTCACACAGGGGCCACTGAGAGACAGCCGATTCGACCGGGGATTTTCCACGGCAGGGGGGTTTCCCCCCTTCGGGGCCCCATTCGAACCGTTGCCCAGGGCATGGGTGACAGAGAGGACAAAGGCGAGAAGTGGCTGTGTGTCCCCGGAGGAGGGACTGGAACTGGCCCAGAGGATGGAGGTGGCGGATCGAGAAAGAAGGCAAATGCAGCGGACTTTGGAGGATGTCATCCAAGCAATCCCGCAGCTGGTAATCCAAGCCATCAGGGAGGAGAGGGAGGCCCGACAGTCCCAGCAGGGTTGGTCCCAGCAGGGTTGGTTGCCCCTCTGGCCCCGCAGCAGCAGTTGCCCAGACCTGATGACGCCCCACAACTGGGCCCGCCCGTTGTCCCGGTTCCAGCACCACGCCCTGGCAGCCCGAAAGACCTCATCGAAGCCACCTTTGATGGGAACCCGGAGGAACTCTCCTACTTCGTGGTTCGAGTGATGAAGTTTGTGGAAAGGCCGGGTCACCTGTTCCCAGACGATAGCAGCTGAGTAGATATGGTGGTGGCTCGGCTCCGAGGCCCTGTGGCAGCTTGGTATGTGGGGCTCCACAACGCCCAGGGGCCGGAGCTAATGAATCTGGACGCTTTTATGTGGGCGTTGCGAGCCCAGTTCGAAGACCGGGATGCCGGGCCCAAGGCGAAGGCGTTCCTGTGAACCCTTAAGCAAGGTAGGCGATCGGTGAGGGAATACGCCTCTGAATTTAAACTACATGCGGCCAAAATGCAAACCTGGCCTGATCCTGTGTTGGCGGAACTGTACAGAGTGGGGCTGAATCCTGAAATACGGGAGACGGTCCTGAGGGCTGTTGACCCAGTATCCCTGCCAGCCTGGATGCAAGAGGTGGAGAGTGCAGAAACCCGGCTGCACACCCTACGCTTGGACATCGCGACGGCAGGAGGTCGGCCTACACCCCAAGCGGCGAAGGGGAAACCGATGTGGCAGGTGGAATCGTCCCGGGAGCAGCGCATGCGGCAAGGGCTCTGCCTGAAGTGTGGGGAGTGGGGCCATTTCGCGGCCAACTGCAGCGGGACGGGGCCTGGGAAACAGGGGCCAAGTGAACCAGTGAAGGTGCGCCCTGCCACGCCAGCGAAAAAGCCAACTGGAAAGCCAAAATATGCAAAAGCCCTGCAGGCAGCTCCCGAAGAATGTGAGGCGGAATATGCAAAAGCCCTGCAGGCAGCTCCCGAAGAATGTGAGGCGGAATCCAGCGGAGACAACCCAGAGCTGGCGGGAAATGGATTGGTCCTGCTGTAAGGGGCACGGAGCAGCAGGGCCCGATCCCGGAGGCGCCTAATGTGGCGAGCAGCTTTCCCTCCTTGTTTTTTGTGACTGTGACTTTGATTAACCCCAGCCTCAGATCTCATATACAGGTGAGAGCCCTGATCAACTCGGGGTGTGGGAGGGATCTGATCAACCCCTCCCTGGTTACAGGGTTGGAGGCTGGGGTGGTAAAGTTGAAAGACCCCCTAATATTTACATAAATGGATGGCTCTACAATGAAAGACCTGTGTGAGTACGAGACTGTACCGTTGCGAATTGGGGCGGACAGAGCATTCGTGGTCACCTCAGCCGCCAGGTTCCCGCTAGTCCTTGGGGCCCCGTGGCTGCACGGGCACGATCCCTACATCTTGTGGGACAAAAGGAAGGTACAGTTCATTTCACCTAAGTGCCGGAGCCACAGTTGGAACCTGCAATGGGGCCAGCAGCCGATAGCGGAAGGCCCTAGAGTGTGTCTAGCTCAAGAGGAAATGCTCGCCATTCCCCCTGAGTACCGGGATTTGGCTCGGGTGTTCAAGGAGGAGGAGGCGAATGAACTCCCCCCGCATAGACATTCAGACTGTAGTGTTGAACTGTTGCTGGGGCAGAAACTACCCAAGGGGCGCATTTATGCAATGGGACCGGCCGAAAAGGAAGAACTACGCAAGTTCATAGACAAGAACTTAGCCTGTGGGTTCATCCAACCGGCCTCGTCCCCCTATGCGGCCCCGGTACTGTTCCGAAAGAAAAAGGATGGGGGGCTGCGACTCTGCACGGATTACCGGGGCTTAAATGCAGTGTCTTCCACTAATGCCTATCCCATGCCATTGATTAAAGACTTGCTCGCTGAAGCGGCAAAAGGGAAAATCTTCTCCAAGCCGGACCTTCAAGATGCCTAATTTCGGGTGCGCATCGGAAGGGGACGAGCCTAAGACCACTTTCAACACCCCCC